TACTACTACTCTGTGTGTGTCACTGCCTTGTTCAAAAGCCTGGCCTTGCTGCCCATTGCCACAGGGCGAAGTTCAAACTGCCTAGCCCAGTGGTCAATACCCCACCCAACGCAACCTCTTCGTCCCTGCCTTCCATTCTTCCTCCTATGGATCCTTCGCTCTGGGTGGCAATGCTCTCTCCAAGGCCACCTCCACATTGCTAATCTGCTGGACACATTTACCCTCAGATGGCTGACCTTGTCCTTTAGGAAACCTCTCCCTGACTCCTGCCATCCCTCCAGCTGTGCCCCCTCTAACAAGGACATTCTCTGAAGTCCTTCCGATCTGGGGCCTCTCCCTTCTCCCTGGGCACCCACTCCCTGGGGGTGTTACCCACTCCTTCCTGTGCCCTCAGATGCCCGTGGACTTGCTCCACTCTCCTGCCCAGACCTCTCCCCAAGCCGCAAACCTGAGACCCCCAGCGGCCTCACCTCAGGCATCTCAAACCCATCCAGACTAAAGCCATGTCCCCGGCCCCCAGACTTCTCCCCTTCTGCTCCCGTGTCCCCTTCCACACTGCCCACCCAGTGCAGAAGCTGGAACCTGGGGCTCCTCCTCGACTTCCCTACCCTGTCCCATCAGTCCCACAACCTCCCAGTCCTCCTCCTCCTCTCTGCCACCCCGGCAGCTCCCACTGCTTTCCTGGCCGCCAGCCCTGCCTCTATCTGTCCTGCAGACAGAGAAGCATTCCAAGAAAAAATGGGGTCCTGGCAGTCCCTTGCCAAAAATTCTTCATTGAAGCCAACCACCTATAGCAGTGGGCGCCAGAATCCCCTGGGGTGTTTGTTTAAAACTGCTCATTCCTAGGCCTCAGGCCCCAGGGTTTGATTAGGTCTGAGCTAGGCCCAGAAATGTGCATTTAAATAAGACTTCGAGGGATGAAGGGGAGAGAGCTGTGGACGGCACCCAGAGAACTGCCTGAGGCCACAGCCTGGGAGTGGCCTCCAAGTCCCCCAGGATCTGGGTCCCACCTACATCTCAGCCTCCACTCTCATCTCCTTAGCCCTCACTGCACCCACCTACCTTCTGGAATTTGCCCTTTCCCTGAAGGGCCATTCACTCCCTCTTCTGGCCTTAGTCCTTGCAGTCCCTATGCCTGGGACACTCCTGCCATTCTGTCCCCTGACATCTCCTGTTATCCTTCAGACTACAATTTGGACATCTATTCCTCTAGACTAGGTTAGGGGCCGTTCTCTGTAACCCGAGTTTCTGTGCCCCATCAGAGCCTCAAAATGCCCTGTAAACCAACCACCCTCACATTAGAATGCTAGCTCCTTGAGCACAGGGACCATGTCTGTCCTCCTCAGCCCCATGTTCTCAGTGCAGCCTGTGCCTGGAACGTATCGGTGTCCAGTAAGTGATTATTGAATGAATGACTGGATGGCTCTGCATGGTACATAAGAGCAGGGCGCCTTCACTCAGATCCCAGCGCCTTCCTTGCTCAGCAGTGGGACCTCGGACCACCTTACTCAGCCTTTGCATCCTCACCTGTTAAGCAAGAATCTTGACACCTGCTTTGCAGGTTGTCCTGAAGATGCTATGAGATGCTGTACTCGGTGCCTGACTCAAGCTAAGTGCCACTGCCCAACACGTGCTGCACACAGTCCCATCTTAGGAACATAGCCATTGGCATGGAACTCCCTGCGGGCAAGGATCAGCTTGTATGTAACTGACCTGTGTCCATCCCCAGCCATCCCACAAAGAAAGGCTAGAGCCTCTGCTCACACAGGGGGCCTTAAGAACCCTGTCTGGAACATCCTTCCCAAAATTTCAGGCTCAGCTAATACAATGCCCCTTATATGATGTCCTCCAGGGCCTCCTCTGCCCCCATGAACTCCTGGTCTCCATCCTGGCGCCAGGCTGTTCTCCCACAGGGCAGCTTGTCCCTGGTTTTGCATCCCAGGAGGACTCCCCACATATGGGAGGCCCTCGCCACAGCCTGTGGCCTTCTTCAATGCAACCCAGATGCACCTTCTCCAGGAAACAGTTTCTGATTGAACCCAACAGACTCGGGTCACTCTGTGCACATCACTGCAATTAGCTCTCTCACCTGTGTTGCTTGGGAAACATGCATAGTGCCCTTTTCAGCAGAGTGACTGATTCATCCCGGTCTTCCTGAAATACTCCCAGTTTTAGCACTAAAGCCCTGTGTCCTGGGCAAACCAGGACAGTTGGTCACCCTACATTTCGAGTGTCTGTGCATCTATATAAGTAATATATAATCCTTTCTCCTGTCACTCCACAGACACTCGAAGCCCCTCCAAAGCTAAGCCACTGGCTCATGTCTCAGTCAACCTGGGTCTCCCTTCCCCCTTCTGTCCCAAAGTCCAATGTGGAATTTCACGTGCAACAAACAGCCTTGGGGCCCTGCCTGCCAAGGCTGATACTGAAAGCCTTGAGACCTGGCCTTTACAGGGGGAAGAGGGAGGGAAGGGTGGAAGGAGGGAGGAGGGATAAGAGGTAGAGGCCAGGCCAAAAGAACGGAATCGAAGGGGAGGGCTGGAGCTATGGATGAGGAGGGTACAGCAAGGTAAGTAAAGTTACAGAAATCTGAGGATGGGGGTAGGCTCAAGATACAGGTTGTTGGGGACAGAGTGGAGACAGGAGAAAGAAGGGAAGATGAAGTCATCCTCAGGTCTGCATAAGCTCCCTAGAGTGCCTGGCCAAGGAGGCAGAGCTGACCACTTGCTGCTGACCACTGGCCACCTCTCTCACCTGAGGATCTAGCATGGGATGCCCCAGATGTAGGTGAGGAAGCAGGTAGGATTGTCCAGCCTAGATGGGCTGGGAGCCCCTTCCCATCAGGCATCCAGGAGCAGTCTTAAAACCAAAGGGGGTGAGGCATGCCCCCAGGATTGGAGCAGCAGGTGCACGATGGGGGAGGGAGTCAGGAGGAAGTGGCTTACCTTTAGCAGGTATTGGGCTGTGTAGAAGCCAGCTGGGCCACTGCCCACCACACAGATCTGGGGCGTCTTCTCCTGTGTGGAGAAGTGCTGGCGGAAGCCTGGGGCCAGGCAGGGAAAGGAGAGGAAGGTCAAAATCAACACTCCCTCCCCTACCCCAAACCAACTTGGGTGTCCTACAGAAGCTAGAACTTCCCAAGCTTCATCCTCACCTGCACCCTCCTTCTCTTGTTCATCAAAGCTTTGGTGTTTGCGGGGTCCCCTACTTTACCTGAACCCCCAAAAGCTGCATCTTCATCCACAGGCCCACATCTCACCCGTGAACTTACAACACCACCAACAATAGCCTACCCCAAAACCCCCATCACCTCAAGCTACCATATACAACACTTCATTTTCCCTACCCTATCAGAGAGAATCCCACATCTTTCTAACAGACTCCCTATTACCCAATCTCACCCCTATAGATCTCCTCACAACGTCCCCATCTTACCTCTTCTAACCCCTCTCCCTCAACAGAACCCTATATTGCCCATATAGACTTCTGTTCGCCTCAGACTTCCCTCCCACCCCACAGACTTCCATGATACCCCCATTCACCCCATCTCACACCTGTGGGCCTCTCGGTCTCCCCCTTTCGCCTTTGTTGACCCCAGTCTCAACCTAGAGGCCTCACATCTGGCCCACAGGCTCCCACCCGCCCCTGTACACCATCCCCATCTCGCCGGCAGGAATAGACCTCCAGTCTCACCCATCTCCAGCCCTGCCCCAGCTCCGCTCCAACGCCTACACTTAATGTTTGCCGGCCTCCCGCGCTCCCATCCAGCCCTAGAGGTGCCCTGCTCCTACTCGGGGTGCTCCTGGTGGGAGGAGGCCGGGTCCGAGGCCACGCCGACCAGTGCCACCAGCGCCAGCAGCGCGGAGCCATAACCGGGAACAGCAGCCTGCAGGCGGATCAGCTCCAGGCGCCTGCCCCGCGCTGCACGCCCGCCCGCCCGCTCCGGCCCTGCCTCTGGCCCCGCCCACAGCCTCGGGCCCGCCCACAGCCCCGCCTCCGCCCCAGCCCCGCCTCCCACACTCTAGGAAAGCACGGCTTTGCGGCTCCACCTGGACCGCCAGAGAATCCCGCCCCCCAAAGAGAGGCCCGCCCTCGGACCAACCCCCTACCGGCGAAGCCCCGCCCCTAAGGACTTCCGGGACGTATAGGGGACTTAAAAATTTCTCCCCAATCGTCACCCTCTCTCCAAATACCCGAAGCCTGGAGCTGGAAGAGAGCGAATCCCCATCGCTATTGCAGTCCCTCCCGAAAGAGGGAGCCAATTAGAAGGGAGCTTATTGTACCTAGCCGCTGCCTCCTCTCTTGAGGCTCTCGTCGCTCGCTGATGACGCGATCCGCCTTTGCGTTTTGATAGAGCATCCTCCTGCAAATGGCTTCGTCCCAGCCAATCATGAGACGGGTTCCCAGCGAGCCTTCCCGCCCATTGGGTGACAGCCACAGAGTGCGGAAGTGTGCAGAAAGAGGGCTACTCTGCCTGCACTCTAACCGCCCCTTTCTTCGACTCTGGGTGTTGTGTTGGTGTGACTCCGGCAAGATGCTGTCCGTGTCTGATGAGGGAGAATATTAAACCCTGGAGAGCTTGTCCTGCCTCACCTCCTCTCCCATTACATAGGTGACGAAAAAGGAGGGGGAGTGGCTTCCCCTAGGTACTAAGGAGAGAGCCTCGGACCCTTGTCCAACTGTGCCCTTGGGTCCAGAATTTAAGAGAGCACCAAAAAACTCAGTAATCAAAATAAATATTATAGCGCGACGTTTTAAAAGATCAAAATTAATGCCAAAAATCCATGATGAGCAAAATATATTTCTAAATAAGGACAGGATCCGTAGTCACGTCGGACCCAGTAAGCCTAATGCCTCTTCCTTTTCCCTAAAGACCCTCTTGTCAAACATTGCTTCTTTGGAGAAGACTTCTCTAACCCCTCTCCTTCCAAGCTCCAAGGGCTTAAAGGCCTCTGGTCCCACAGCACCCAACCCTACCGCATCATTACTTATTACACCACTTGTCATTTTTAGTGAGCTTTTTAATTTAAGTATAACATACAGAAGAATGCACAAATCACAACATACAGCTTGATGAATTATCACAAGGTGTAACCATGTAACCACCACCCAGATCAAGTAACAGAACATGACCTGTAACCCAGCAGTCCCCTGAGCCCCTACTAGTCGCTCCCAATCTCTCCTACTGGGAGGTAAATACTGTTCTGCTTTCCAGTAAGTCATTGTGTTTTATGCCTGTCCCACTAGACCAGGATTAGGCAAACTATGGCTTGTAGGCCAAATGCTGCTCACCGGCCTGTTTTGAATAACCCAAAATAATTTTTACATTTTTTAATGGACAAAGTAGTTAAGAATATTTTGTGACACATGAACATACATGAAATTCAAATTTCAGTGCCTATAAAGTTTTATATTGGAACGCATCCATGCTTATTTCTTTACATATTGTCTATGGTTGTTTTTGCATTTTGATGGCATAATTCAGTAGTTGTGACAGAAACCATATGGTTCACAAAGCCCAAAATATTTACTATCTGGCACTTTACAAAAAGAGTTTGGCAAGCCCTGCCCTAGAGTGCAAGCGCCATGAGGGTGAGGTCCAGATCCTGTTCACTCATATATCCCGAGCCTCACACAGTGCATGGCACATAATGGAAGTTCATAAAGAGTTTGTCTTAATAAGCTGGAGATTCAGGATCCGACATCCTAGAAAGCTCTGTAGGGCTCCCCATCCAGAGGCAGTACGTCTGGTGGTTGAGTATGGACTCTGGAGCCAGACACACTGGGTTTGAGTCCCTCTGGCACCACTTGCTAGCTATATGACATTGAGAAATTTAATCTCTCTAGGACTTTTTTTCACCATCTGTAACGTGTGAGGGGAAAAATAGTACCAATTTGTTGTAAAGGCTAAAATTCGATGGGTAAAATCATCTGCCATAAGTGCTAAATAAACAGCTATTATCATCATTATCAATATGTGTTATCATCTCCCACATACCTCTATAAATTAGATTTAGCCCTCTGCAGAGCCCCAGACCTACTTTATTCACTCTTGTCACCTTCCCTCACCTCTCAAGCCCCAGGCATTCCCAGCCATCCTCAGAGTTAGAGAAAAATCAAGCCTAGTGACTTGTACTCAGGGTGCCCATGGCACAGCCAGATCTGGCACCAAGACTTCCAGCTGCTGCCCATAATCCACTCAGGCCCAGATCAATAACAATGAGTCATTGTTATGTATTTGGATGGTTTTAATCATTAGCCAGGACTATGCAACTGGGGCCTTTTCTGACATTGCATTTTTCATATGGAGAATTAGCAGTTTGATTAATTGCACTCCCAGACCTTTAGGCCATTTCTGAGCTGCTAATGCATTTCAAAAGAGCAGCAAGAACATATAGGAAAGCAGTGGACTGGGGAGGCTGCCAAGCCTGCCTTGGTCCAAAAGAGCTGCTTGGATCTAAAAAGGGCTATTTGGATCCAAAATTCTGCTCTATCAGCCAGCCCCTGAGCAGGGAGCAGATGGCATGCTCAAAAGGGTGACTAAAGAGAGTTTAATGAAGGAACTTTATACCGAGGTGTGGGTTAAGGCAATGGAGAAGCACCCCTGGGCTAGCAATAGCTGGAAGCCACTACCACCCCAGGCCTGCAGGGAGCTGTTTCACAACTAGTGAGAGCTGGAGCTGTGGTCTCTGGCAGAGGAAGGCAGGTGGGGACGAGTGGGGAGTAGAGCTGCCTAAGGCCACACCAGTGATGGGCTCTCCAACATGACTGGGCTCAGAGAATGCCTTCACCTGTCATGAAACTCCACTTATCGTGTGAGTCCCCATTTGCTGGAAGTTAGTATCCCTATGAGCAGGGTCAGCACGCCCTTGACCCCATCCAAGGACTTAACTGAAAAACAAGATAATTATTCACAAGAATGACTTGCGTGTTCTCAACCAGAGAAGATTTGGCAATGTCTGGAGACATTTTTGATTGTCGTGACGTTGGCTCCCAGCATCTAGTAAGTAGAAGCCAGGGACACTGCTAAACACCCAACGATGCACAGGACAGCCCCCAACAACAAAGAATTATCCAGATAAAGTGTCAATATCAGTGGTGCTGGGGTGAGCGGCCCTGTTTTAAACTACCTCCTGTCATAGGCCTGGCCTCCTCCTCTGTCCCTCCCCCAGTCTCCACCCGGGCACTGCCCTGCAACCCCCAGCTGGGGCAGCTCCCAGCTGTCTCTAACTCCACCCACTTTGAGCTGAATCCCAATGGTGTCCCTCAGCACCTTGGCCCCTTCCTCTAGCTGGCATCCATGGTTCCTTTATAGTCCCAGACCACTCCCAGGCTACAGACCAGCCTTCCTCACCCAGCCCAGCCCTGACCTCAAGTTCCTCCCCCTGTGCCCCACTCTCCTTCCCTCCTCTCTGAGGCCACCAACCCTCCAGACCCTGTTCCCATAACCCTCTCCAGCCTCAGCTACCCCCCAGGGATTCTCTCTCCCAGTGGATAATCCCCCAGGTTTACTGCTTCTAAAACACCACAGAGCAAAGCAGACTTTTCTACAGCTAGCCAAGGTCACATTCAGAGCTACTTATACTCTTTCCCTCACTCTGTTCCTGAGGGACTTTCTCCCCTGGAGTCCTCTCCCCAGAACACACACACTCACTTTTACCTCACAGACACTGTGGGCCTTGGGAACTGCTGAGCCAGTGTCTTCACAGGCTTCTTTGGCTGGGAGCTAGGCACGCCTGCCAAAAGCAAGCTCACCCTGAAGTCCCTGAGGAGAGGGCACCTTGGTGGGCAGAGCCTCAAAGGGTACAGGGGGCAGCGGTGGCCAAGCCAGTGTGGGGCTCTCCCAGCCCCAGGGAGGCCCCAGCCCAGGGAGCTGACCCTTCTCTGCCTGTGCCCCCTCCGTCTCCCAGGTGGCCCCTGCACAGGATCCCTCCTCACCCTCGGTCACCCCTTAGCCCTACCAAGGCTCAGCTGGGGCAGGGGGAGGGGTCAGCTGTTTGGTCCTGCGATGAAGCTGGCTGAGCTCCACACTGACCAGCATGCCCAGCCACCATTATTGCTTTCCCCCAGACACCCCTGGAAATCCAGAAACGCTATCAGGGCAGGGGGGCCCCCTGGACCCTGCGTACGAGCTCCCCTGCCCTACTATTGCCCAATGCCGCAATGCTCCAGGCCCACCACCAGCCACCAAGCCACAACCCTGGGCCAGCAGCTGCAGGAGGGCAGGCCCAGACCAGGGAGGGCAGGGATGGCCTCACGGGCCCAGGCTCACTGCAGCCCGACGAGCTCCGTGATCGGCGGGGCCTGCACCATGAACTCCTCGTATCGACGGAGAAACAGCCGGAAGCGAGCCAAGTACGAGTCCTCATTGTAGGGCAGCTGCTTCTCGTGGAGGAACTGGGACACCACAGGCTTCACCTGAGGGAAGACGGGCAGGAGGAGGGGCCTATGAGCCGGGACTGTGGGGAGGCCCAGCCACCCACCCCAGCCTGTGTCTGCCTTGCTATGTGACACTCTGGAGGAGGTGGGGGGCTAAGGCCAGAGATTCCCTGCCCCCTTCCCAGCAGGCAAAGAAAGGCGGGGTTTCTCCCAACACCCTCCCCAGGGCTCTAGCGTGACAGTCCTTGGCTGAGGAGGAGGAAAACCAGAGCTCCCTTTTACCAAGCACCTACTGTGTGCCAGACATTTCAGATCTGTTTCTGCATTTCATCCCGAAACCTGTCACCATAAGCACTGCTCCCTCCCATTTTACAGAAGAGGAAGCTGAGACTCAGAGGCACCCAGTTAACTTGTCCAGAGTCACGCCGTTAGTGAGAAGCCCAGGTGTCTCTGATCTGAAATACACACTGCTGCTTATACACTGCACTGCCCTTCCTGGGTGGCCCCAGACCAGGCCAGGTGGGGGACTCAGGGTTCAAGTGAACCCTGAAGGTTCCCCCTTTCCACACTCAGATTGTCCCTTCGTCCCCCACCAGCCCAGCCCTCAGCCACCTTCAGGCACATGTTGTCGGAGAGCCTGGGGAAGAGGTGGTGCTCCACGTGGCAGCTGACGATCGAGTGGCCGAACGCCCAGTCCAGCAGGGGCAGCCGGGGCAGGTTAAGCACCCCCAGGCTCATCATGTGAATCCGTCGGGGCTTGTGGTCCCGGGAGAACACGGGCAGCCCAATGTGCTGTGACGGACACGTGGGTTAGCGTTAGCTAGGTGAGGACACCCTGGGGCTGAGCCCTGGACCGCTTCCCCTAACCCCACCCCAAGTGTCCTCACCTAGCACCCCCCAGTGGGTTCTCCTGCCCCCCAGTTCCCACGCAGACTGGGCTCCTGGCCCGGCCCCAACGCCCACCCTGCCTGTGCCCTACACCGAGTCTCACCCATCTCTGGGCCTCTCTCCCCATGTGCACGATGAAGGTCCCAGGTGCGCTGGGACCAAGACTGGCCACCACCTGCTCTCATGGCACTGTGCCCTCGCCTCATCCTGGAGAGGCCTTTCCTGCTCTCTTCACCAGTCAAATTCCTGCTCATGCAAGATCAAGTTTGTGCTCCTCTTTTGTATCTTTTCATTCAAAGAACATGGGCAAGTACCTCCTCTGCTAGGCGCTGGCCTCGGCCTAGGACCTCAGAAGTGACCAGGAGCTTGTGTTCTCACAGGCCCAGCAGATGGGGCCCAATTATGGGATTAAGTAATTAATTAACAGCAGTTGTGGCAAGTGCAGGACAGCAAAGTTCAGGATGCGCTGCCCGGGGCCTTCCCTGGGCAGGGGGAGCTGGGACACGTCCCTGTGGAAATGGCACCAGAACTGGCTGCTGGGCCCTGGCCTCGCATGAAGGCCTCCCCTCTCCCGTGCTGTCATCTGCATGCCCATGGCACTGGCTGGGCCTGGTGCGTGAATGAAATTGTGCCAGCCAGTGTCGAGGAGGAGCAAACTCCTTATCTGAACCCAAAACGCTCGGTGATGACCCAAGTAGGGGGTGGCTGGAGGGGGGGTGCCTCCTCCTCAGGTGGCCTCTCTTCCCCCAGCCTTGGCTCCGGCCTGCAGGCAGGCACCTGGAGAACCCCCCCTTAGCCGCCCAGCTCCTGGGTTGGGGGAGGCCTCACCTGGAAGATATTGACGTGGAGGTAGGGGTGGGCCAGCAGGGACCTGATGAGGAACATGCAGACCAGGGCCGAGCTGGGGCTCTTGAAGCCCGACACATTCAGGAGCAGCCAGTACTGGGAATAGAGGCCCAGGGAGATGAGGCCCAGCGTCCGCAGAGCCGTCCTCAGCTCCACCTGCCTCAGCTGCTCTGCCAGAGAGAAAGACATAGAGTGAGGGGCGGGCGAGGCTCAGGTGCACCGTGAGCTGGCTCCTGGCCCCAAGGCAGAGGGCGGTCTGGGTGTGTCCCGTTAACACCCACCCACAGCAGCCCTGAAACGTGGGCCCCCCGCATTGAACGGATAAAGAAACAGAGACATTAAGCAACCTGACCAAGGTCAAGACCTGGGATTTGAACCCAGGTCTGGCTGCCCCGCAGCCCCTGCTCCTTCCAGGGTATGAGATTGCTCCCATGACATTAAACATTGCAACATGTGATATCACACGTGGCCGTCTACAAAGCATGTTGACATCTGTGAGCTCATGTTCTTTCACAGCAATCTGGGGGAGCAGGTACGGAACCTGAGGCTCAGAGAGGCTGTTACCTGCCCACCGTCCCCAGCCAGCAGGTGGCAGAGCCAGACTTGGCCTTGCTTGGGTCCAAGGCTCATTTCTACCCTGCCCAGCTGTCTCAGAAAGTTTCTGATGGGTCTTAATTCAGGGCCCCTGGCTTTCTCCGCAAGTGGCCTACATGAAGCCAGGCAGGAAGGGGGTCAGGTGTTCACGGTACTTACCGATGGCCACCAGTGGGGTCAGGATCGGGAGCAGGAAAGGAGCCAGGAACATGTAGACATAGCGGTTGAGGCAAGGCAGCCTCCACGTGCTCGAGTCCCCCAGGCCCACCACGTTGGTGTAGGCGTGGTGCATCGTGACGTGTCCGTGCTTGGCGCACTCCGCAGTGAAGGCCGTGCATACCTGGAGGGGCAGCCAGGAGGGACCGGGTCCATGACAGGCACAGTTGAGCAAAGCAGGACCTTTGTGAGCCCCAGCTCCTCGGACCCTGCGTTTCCAGGGCCTTCCTGCCTCACAGCCCCATCTAACTAACTGTGACCATCAACTCTCAGGTATCCGTGACCATGGAGTGACAGCTGGGCAAGACAACCATGTCCATTCGGTGTGGCTCAGCAAAGCATTTGGGGGTAGGAGGCTGGACCCCCAGAGTGTCACTCTGCCTGTGACCACCTGGGCAACCCCGAGAGTCTTAGAGGCTGTCAGGATTGGATGCAATGCAGGTGAAGCTCCCAGCATCACTGCAATTGTTTTCTGCGTGTTTATGTTAGAAACACCTGCACCTCCATAGCACTGCTTTGTTCTGAGCCCAGAGCAGCCAGGAGAGGGGTGCAGGAGTGGGCTGAGAGTGAAAGGACACCATCTCCTGAACAATCTCCGGGCCTTGGGGCCACATGTGGCCTTCTGGATCCTTGAGCACAGCCTTTAGACTGAATCCAAATTTTACGGAACAAATACCTTTGTTAAAAGTTTGGATTCGGGCCGGGCACGGTGGCTCACGCCTGTAATCCTAGCTCTCTGGGAGGCCGAGGCGGGCGGATTGCTCTAGGTCAGGAGTTCGAAACCAGCCTGAGCAAGAGCGAGACCCCGTCTCTACTATAAATAGAAAGAAATTAATTGGCCAACTAGTATATATAGAAAAAAATTAGCCGGGCATGGTGGCACATGCCTGTAGTCCCAGCTACTTGGGAGGCTGAGGCAGAAGGATTGCTTGAGCCCAGGAGTTTGAGATTGCTGTGAGCTAGGCTGATGCCATGGCACTCACTCTAGCCTGGGCAACAAAGCAAGACTCTGTCTCAAAAAAAAAAGTTTGGATTCGGTCAAGGGGCCACACCTGTGGATCTGGAGGGCCACATATGGCCTTGAGGCCGCAGGTTCCCCACCCCTGGCTTACAAGGTGGGGACGTGTGGGGGAGTGCCACAGTGAGAGCTAACTTCTCCCTAGAGGTGACTCTTCCCCAGCACAGGGGACCAGTCACTCGTGAGCTGCTGACTGCTAGGAGAGCAGTCATCCCAGAATGCAAAAGAGGTGCTAAGGTGTTTCTTATGCAGATGTATGCAAATGAAGATGCAGATATAAGCCTCTTCCAATATTTTATGTAGGCCAGATTTTGCTAATTTTATTGAAGCTGCTTGCCTGCCTGTTTCTGGAAGAACGCGAGAAGTTTCAATACCAGTCACTGCAAGCCAGATAAGGACAGCAGGACACCTTTGCTGGTGGGCCACCCTTTGCTGAGTGCCCACTGCATTCTGCACTTCAAGTACTTCCAAACCCAGGGGGTCAACAGTGTCATTATTCACAGTCCACAGACGCAGAAACTGAGCTAGAGAGAGGCCAAGTGGGCCCAAGACACACAGCTCAGTAGGTGGCAGAGGCAGGATTTAGACAGAACGCCCAGATCCTGAGCTCCTCATGCGAAACCTGAGCTGAGCCACTTACTGCAGCTGAACAAGAAGCCAGGCTCTGGGGCCCGCAGCAAAGGCAAAGACAGAAGAAAAATAAGCAATGGCATTGTCTTCGCGCTCTGTCCCTTGGAATGAAACTGAAGCCGAAATGTAGCCTGTCTATCTACAGGACACTGAGTAGCACAAGGGCAGTTTTGCAAAAGCCACAGAAGACGTGTCAAACCAGCCATCCCGCACGCGCCCCTGGGAAGGCACAGGACAGGAAGGTAAGTGCTAATTCCACAACGGCATTTCTGCGGCGTCCACGAAATCAGGACGAGGCACTTTGCCTTCAGATGATGCAACCCACAGAGGGCAGGTCTCGCCAGAGATGCTGGGGGACGAGTGTCCGTGAGGTACGCAGCATGTGATTGGTGACTCAGCACACACTCCGGTCTGTGTGCAATGTGCCTTTTACGTGAATAAGAACAGATTTGAAGCTATTTCTACACTCTGGACTTCTCACTCCCATTTAGATGTTCTCTCCTGAGAGGGGGATGGAGGGGTGTGGGGTTGGGCTAGAAGGGGCAGTGTGTCTCGAATGCCTGACACCTAACACCCACCAACCCAAGGGCACTGGAGGAGGACCACACGCTGCTGAGTTAGTTGGAAAATGGGGTGTCCCGCTGAGAAGGATTATTTAAAACACACCCAGAGAAAGTTCTAGAAGCCTTGAGGTTGGTGCTGCTTCTTGATATCACCCTCTGTACCCCTCGGGAAGACTTAAGAGCCCCAATCTCTCAGCAGGGCCCAGGCTCTGAGTGGCCAGAGGGGGTTGGGGGGCATCAGGATAGTTCTGCCAGGAATCTCAGCCGACTGTCCGGGGCCCACAAAATCTCTCCTTCATTCATCTGTTCTCTATTCAGTTGACTGTTTCCTTTTATTATTATTATTATTATTATTACCCTTAGGATTGGCTTTTGAATCAGTTGACTGTTTCCTTAAGCGTCCTTGGACCCTGGACCACGCTAGGTAAGCGTCCTTGGACCCTGGACCTTGGACCCAGGTACCACGCTAGGCCTGCAGAGGTACCAGGGACAAGATTGAAAGGAGACAGAACCCCATCGGAGCCATAAGCCAGGTTCCTTGGGGACCAAATGGAGCCTGCCCCATCCAGGCAGGGTACTCAAGGGCTCCTCTGGCCACAGCCTCACTGCTGTGCCTCCCTCATCCCAAAGGCACCAAAACATGACGATATTCGCACAGATCCTGCCTGACAGCCTGCCGGGTACTCTGAGGACTCACACTCAGGGACTTGCATTCTCACCGAGCAGGGCTGCCAGATGTGGCAAATCAAAAACATCAGCGGCCCAGTTAAATTCGAATTCCAGATAAATAACAAGTGCATGTAGTATCTGGGATATACGTATATAAAGATTTGGTTGTTTATCTGAACTTCAGATTTATCTGGGCATCCTATATTTTATTAATATTTGACAAACCTACTGCTAAAGTCCCACAGAGCCTCAGAGGCCCCCACTCTGAAGGCAGCTGAAAAGGGCTGCTCCCCGGGAATCAGCAAAAGGAACAGAGACGCTGGGCAGACTCCAGCACTGGGTCCCTGCTGCCAGAGGGACACTGCTCTAGGATGTCCCCTAGGACATCCCTCTTTCTCATCTTGTCCCTGCCTGCTGCTGCCACTCCTGCACCCATCTTGGGAGTGGCCCCACCCTGGCCCTGGCCCCACCCTGGTCCTGGCCCTGAGCTGGAAACCTGACTGTTGCCCTTGACTCTTCCTACTCCTACTCCCCCTGCCTCCTGCCCAAATCCTGCCTAGCCCACCTCCACCTGCACCTTCCCCCTGCACCCCTCCCTGCCCCTCTCTCCTCACCATCTCTTAGCCAGTCTGGACCAACAGCCAATGACCCATCTCCTGCCTTATCTGCCCCAAATCCATAGGGTGACCTAGTTAACACCCAACTTTGATTGCATCATAATGTTATGGTGACATTTTTTTATCCTGCAATGTACTGTTTGTTTAAAAAATAAGAAGAAAACACTAGAGAAGGACACAGAAGAGACCGATAACCTTCATCCGTCCTCTCCCAGGAGGAACACGGGCACTGCAGAAAGGGACAGGCAGAGACTTCTCCCCATACTTTTTGGATTCTGAATTATGTAAACACATTGCCTGGTCAAAAATAAATAAAGTTAGTTTTGAAAAGTACCAACTTAGACAGCTACCTTTGGCCACAGGACAAAGTCTCAGCTCCTCTGCCTGGCCCGGGTCTCCTTGCCCCCTTCTCCAGGGTCCCCATTACAGTCTAGTGACCCCAGATTTCCCTGGGCCCCTCAGGCACTCAGCTCTCTTCCACAGCCTTTGTCCCTATGTCTGCTCTGTCTGAAACCAGCTTCCTGCTTCCCAGCCCGGCCAGCTTGTCCTGGCAGCATCTCTTCTGGAAACTCTCCCCAGGCCTCTCAGGTCTGCAAGACTGACATTTGGGACCGGGGCATTTTTTGTTTCAGGAGCTGCCCTGCCCTGTGCACTGCAGGGCGTTTAGCAGCAGCCCTGGCCTCTGCCCACTGGCTGCCAATAGCACACACATACCCCAGTCTTCATAGGCAAAAGTGTCTCCGGACATTGCCCAGTGTCCCTGCCACCCACTCCCCACCCTGAGTGCTCAGAACCTTCACCCTGGGCGATGCCCTTGTCACACTCTGCCTGCCCTGGTCCCAGGCAGCCCAGGTTTGAATCCAAGAGGCACCACCAACCAGCTGGGACAAGTGGCTTAACCTCCCAGATCAGTGTTTCCTCATCTGCAAAGTGACAGTAACAACAGCTCGACCCTCACAGGGAGGCGTGACTATTAAATAGAGAACTCACAGAAAGGACACAGTAAGCAGACAGACAGTAAGGGTTAGCTAGAATGACCAGGATTTTTTAAATATTTTCATGTCATTCATGTAGGTCTCTTTCCCACTTGACTCTGGGCCCTGGGGCCCTGGAACTGGGTCTTATTCACCACTGGGTCCCCAGCACCTATGGGAGCAGGAGCAGCAGGTGGACAATGTTGGGAGCATCACTCAGGATGCAGGACCAGGTCTCAGCCCGGCCTCGTTCACCCATCAGAGCCTCGGCCAGCACCTTCTCAGCCCCCAAAGCTCCCAGCAAACCAGCCCCCGTGCAAGTCTCCTTCCCCAGCAGGGCACCCACCGCCACCCTGACGGCAACACGCCCGTGGTGGAGCCTTGACCATTTTTCACCGCTCAGACTCTGTGCTGCCACCGCAGACCACCCGGGCCTGCTCCAGGCACCCTCGCCAGCCCTGCTAGGCCCTGGCTGGGGAGGGCGTCTACACACCCTCCAGGGGCCTCACCACCGGAGCCAGGCTCTAGACACCCACAGGAGCGGAACAGTCACAGGACCCCTCCTGGAGTCCTCAGGGTTACCCTTGGGGAAGCCACACCAAAGCGGGGGTGGGGGTGTCGCAGAGCTGCCTGAAAGCACATTTTGAGGATCTACACGCTTGATAAAATGGCAGAGACCCCCCCACACACGCACCCCTTGCACCAGGTTCCTTGGTTTCCACACTGAACAACACTTACATAAATATAACTCTTGGGGGAAACGGGTGAAGGATACACCAGACCTCTCTGTCCTATTTTTGCAAGTCCTGTGAATCCAGAATTATCTTAAAAAATAAAAAGGTTTTTTTTTTTTTTACAAAAGTATATTTTGTACCACAGATCTGAGTTTGTTCTAGAAATAAATTTTATTTATTTATTTATTTATTTTTGAGACAGAGTCTCACTTTGTTGCCCAGGCTAGAGTGAGTGCCGTGGCGTCAGCCTAGCTCACAGCAACCTCAAACTCCTGGGCTCAAGCAATCCTCCTGCCTCAGCCTCCCGAGTAGCTGGGACTACAGGCATGCGCCACCATGCCCAGCTAATTTTTTCTCTATATATTAGTTGGCCAATTAATTTCTTTCTATTTATAGTAGAGACGGGGTCTCGCTCTTGCTCAGGCTGGTTTCGAACTCCAGACCTCGACCAATCCGCCCGCCTTGGCCTCCCAGAGAGCTAGGATTACAGGCGTGAGCCACCGCACCCGGCCTATAAATAAATTTTAAAAATAAAAAACAAAATAAATCACAGTTGAACTTACACAACACCCCTTGGGCTGCGGAGGGACAAGCAGAGAGAGGGCAGAGAGACGCCCGCAGGGTCACCGCCCCAGGGGACGCTCCAGTATCATGGTGAGGCTGGGGGCTCTTAGCTCTGTTTCCACCTGAACAGGGGACCTGAAGGAAGGTGGCGCTCCCTGGGGGGCCCTCCCCAGGGCAGAGCTCACCAGCTGAGGCTCCACCCCTGTAGCAGGAAGCCGACTTCACAAGAAACATTGAAGCTGAGACACAAACAAAGAGCTTAGTAACTGGCAGGGCCTGTTCCTCCCACTCAGGGGAGCATCTTGGATTGTGTGTGACATGCAGGAGAGGCCCTAAAGCCCTTTGATTTCAGGAGTTAACCTTCCCCAAACTTCAGGACTTGAACTATGGTGGCCTGTCTCCCTCCCCCCTCCACCACCTTCCTGTGGCCATCTGAGCGTGGTGCAGCGCCCTTCACCGGCAGTCCCCGAGAATACACCTGGCAGTCCCAGGACAGGTAGGGGCAGGTGCTCTTGCTGGGTGAGGCCAGGGTTGTGCTACCAGGAGGGATGCAACTTTCTCATAGAGACCAGGAATGGGGCTGCAGAGGAAGCTCACCTGCTGTGCGGAGGGGGACAGCATGTGACTTTGGATGCTGTAGGAGAGACACAACAGCCCGGAGTGGAAGCCCCCTTCCATCCCGTCTGCCCCTTCCCCAGATCCCATGGATCTGAGAGGGGAAGTCCTGGTCCCACCCCCAGCTTGGAGCTGGCCAACCCTGAGACAGTCCCAGCAAAAGCTGGTGCCCAGGAAAACCAAGGACACTCAGCTGATGCCCAAGGCTGTGGAATTGCAAAACACCAAAAGGAACCCAGAGCTAGGACTAAATTATTATGCAATGGTGGTGACTCCCGAGGGTCAAAGTTTGGGAAGAGCACAGGCACCCAGCAAGAAAAGGGTTAAAGGGAGAACCCACCAAGAAGAGGGAGAAGAGGAGAGTCAGAGATCCAGGAAGGGTCCCAGGGCTTCCTCTGAGGTCCTAGGCAGCAAGAACTTGTCCTCTGTGCCATGCAGAGCCCCAAGGACACAGCACCCAATCCCACCCCCCCCCTCGCCCCCTGCAACCAATAACCTCCATCCATCCTCTCCCAGGAGGAACACGGGCACTGCAGAAAGGGACAGGCAGAGACTTCTCCCCATACTTTTTGGATTCTGAATTATGTAAACACATTGCCTGGTCAAAAATAAATAAAGTTAGTTTTGAAAAGTACCAACTTAGCTACCTTTGGCCAAGGACAGCTACCTCTGCCCTTGGCTGCCTGCCTTCTCGCAACATACCCACAGCTCTGTGAGCTCCGCAACCTTTCAGTTAACAAAGCAAAACAATGACGAACAAAGCAAACAACAGCAAAATTTGAACCACATGCGGGCTTCATGAGGGAGTGAGGTCATGCATCGCCCCTGCTCATTAGATGAGGAAACTGACATAGCCGGAAAATTAAGTAAGTTGACCAAGGTCAGGGCAGCCAGTGGGGCTGGGATTCCGACGGAGGCTTGTGGCTCCAAAGGCTGTGCCCCAGACACTGCCCCCATTTGCCTGGCAGACAAGAGCGCACCTGCCCTGAGGGCTGTGCTCGCCCATCGATGCCACCCAGGCTGGGGAGCCTGAGCCATCCTCCCCCCCACACTGGGAACTGGACTCTCCCCAGAGGGTAGCCAGAGCCTCACCTGGGGAGCAGCAAACTAAGAAGCAGCCCACATAGGTTACTCGGGGGCCCAAGGGACACAATACTTGTGCCCTGCCCCAAAGCCCACTGCAGCACACCAGCCTGTTGTCACTCACGAGGAAAGAGCCAAGCCTTCCCTCCCCAGCCTCAATGGGGCTCATGGCCCTCTAGGATGGGACCCTCCATCCGCCAGCTTTTCCTTGGACCTCGACCCCTAGTCAACTGCAAGGTCACCATCAATAAATATTGATGGCTGACCTACCAAGAGCTCAGGTCTGCACCAGGAGCTGGAGAGACAAAGAGGCAAGGATGAAGCCACTGGTCTAGGGCTCACGGGGGCAAGACAGCGTGCAGCAAGCAGGATCCAGCCGGGATACCGCCTGGGTCTGGCCGGGCAGGCCGTGTGGTGGAGATGTCCACTGGGGGATCTGGGAAGGCTTCTCAGAGAAGGTGCCCTTGGCTGCCTGCCTTAGCTGGGCACACATGATAGCTACTGCGTGGGTATCACACTTTGGGGGGTATCAGATTCGCCTGGGGAACATGATAAAAATGCAGTGGCCCAGGTCCTCTTCTCCAACAAGCCTGGGCCTCTGCAGCGCTCTGCTACACCCCAAAGTTGGAGAGCCACGAGGTCCTCTCTGCACAGTAAATCCCCTGCAGCCAAGTCGTCCAAAAGTCTCAGTACCTGCTCCTCGTCCTCCACCGCCTCCCACCACTCCTGGCACTGGGTACAGCCCTGAAAAATCCACACAGAGCTCACTCATTCTGCCCTTCTGTCCCGTATTCCCACACTGCCCACGTAGCCAGCACAGCCCAGGGGCGCCCCTGCTGCTCTCGGGGGATTACAAACTTGCTGGGCATCGGACCCAGACCCCAGGGTCCGGCCTGTGCCCCGGGGTCTGGTGGGGATGCCTAGGAAAAGAAGTGTCTTGAAACTAACCCTGAGGATCTGGAGCCTGTTGCTTCGTCTTACCCTCAGCACTTCAGAAATGTGCGTGGTGGGAGGCTGGAGAGGGGAGAGCAGTGGGTAGGGGTGGCAGGTGGGAAAGGTTCCCCCACTCAGCCGATGTGGTGTAATAGTGTAGTCATACTGTAAGTGTGGTTATTGTTATATAAAGTTGTCCAACTTTATAGAAAGTTAATAATTGAGTTAATAATTGAGTTAATTGCTTGTAATAACCAGACCCTGCAAGAAAAGGACTATTTCTAGTACCAGCTTTTTTTGTTGTTGTTGTTGTTTTTGAGACAGAGTCTCGATCTGTTGCCCGGGTTAGAGTGCCGTGGCGTCAGCCTGGCTCACAGCAACCTCAAACTCCTGGGCTCAAGCAATCCTCCTGCCTCAGCTTCCCAACTAGCTGGGACTATAGGCATGCGCCCCCGTGCCCGGCTACTTTTTTCTATATATTTTTAGTTGGCCAATTAATTTCTTTCTATTTTTTTTAGTAGAGACGGGGTCTCGCTCTTGCTCAGGCTGCTGACCTTGATCCCTTGATCATTCCGCCCACCTCGGCCTCCCAGAGTGCTAGGATTATAGGCGTGAGCCACCGAGCCTGGCCCCAGCTTTCTTATTTATCCATAAGGGACTAGGGTGGCCAGGTGACAGTCCCCCTGCAAGGGAGGAGAGGGCAAGCTCAGAGCAGTAGAACAGGAGAGGCTAGGAGACCAGTCAGGAGACAAAGGCAACCTGGCCAGAAACCTTTGCCCGGAGGTGAGAGGCCAGAGCAGAACTGGGAGGCGCTGGAAGAAGCGAGGGAAGGGTCAGGAGGGTGGAGGTCCTTCCTGGAGTAGGCCTGGGGGAGTAGGGGACTTCTCAGGATGGCTCAGCCATTGCCAGGTATCAGAGAGGCATAATGAGGAGCTGGGACACTTTGACACTGGATCTCTTCCCTGCCCCTTTCTGTCTGTGGTTCACACTTGAAATCCTGATTGCAAAAAACCCAGAGGCCCCAAGGGCTGTAGCTATGGGCCAAGACACTCACACATGAGGACCTGCCAGCCACCGGTGTCCTGGTGGGAGGAAGAGGGTCTAGTCATCACTTGGCCCAGTGCTGCAGGGGCAAGCGGGCACACCCAGGCCAAGTCCACTGCCATGGGTAGACACTCGGATACTCCTCATGTGGTTCTCTACCCGCTGGGTGCAAATGCCTTCTCGAGGGCTTGGAGAAGCTCACACACACACAGACACACACACACACCCTGCAGTGCCTACTGCACACGTGGAGCCACATACCAACAGCTCAGCTGCCTGCCACGTGGACACCTGCACAGCTGGACGCACCTGCACCTACAAGCCTGCACAGAATGACGAGGCTGCCCACACCGTACCAGCAGGTGCCCACGCCTCTCCCAGGCTCACCTCCACGAAGAAGAGCAGCCAGATCTTACTCCAGCGTTTGGAGTCCGTGAGGGCACCGTGAGCGGCCAGGTGGCTGCCCTTGACAGTGAGCGTGTAGTGGCACACACCCAAGATGGTGATGCCGATGGCAAAGACCAGCACGTTGTCCGAGCGCAGGCACAGGAACCCTGCATGGGGGAGGGGGACAGGGGACAGGGTCTTTCTCCAGCTCTTGGAGATCTGGGCCCAAACACCTCAGCCCCCATCCCAGGAGCCCAGGCTAAAGTGGGCCCAGCTCTGGGGGCTACAGCGGGCAGGCTCCCGGCAGGTCCCACCATGGGCTGGGGGGATGGGTTGGCTCTCTACAGGATTTGGGACAAAGCAGGGACCCCCACCGCCTTGCTGTGGAGACTCCTGTGGTCCTGAGTCTGCCTGGGTTTCCCTCTCTGGCCAGAGCAGTGAGGACGGCCCAGGTGTCAGGGAGGTTCCAGGCCAGGAGAGGTCCAGAGGGGACTCCCCCTCCCTCACTCTCCACCCCATTCCCAGTCCCCTTACCCAGGGACCTCATCCCTCCCCACCACTCCCTGACCCCTCTCAACTTCCCCTTCCATCACCCTCTGTGCCATCACACTTTCTCCCTCCTCTACCCCGCTCCCCAGGGACACAAGGGTGCCCACCCGCCAGCCTGCTCCACTCCTCTGGCCCCCGGTGCTGCGGCAGAGCCCGCACGCCACCCCCACCCACCCGCAGCCTGGCCTTTGTCGTCCTGTCCCCGTGTCCCTCACCGGCAGGCAAGGCGAGGAGGCTGAGCGCCAGGATGGTGCAGTCCACGCCGCGGCGCTCCCACCACGAGCTGGAGCGCACCACGTCCCGGACCAGCGCCTCCAGCTCGTGCAGCAGCGCCTCGGCCCGGGGCCCGTCCCGCGCCGGCTCCGCGGGCTCCGCGGGCTCGGCCGGCTCCATGGGCTCGCCGGGCACCGGGACGCCGGGAGGCCGGCGGAGGACTGGAGACCTGGAGACCGGCGCGCGGCCGAGGCTCGGGCGGGGCGGGGCGGGGCGGGCGGGGCGGAGTCACGCACCGGCTGGGGACACCGCCCAGGTGCTCGCCACTGGCGGGAGGTCGCAGAACCGCCACAGGAGGAACCAGGGAGATAGGCGATACGTGGGGGTGGGGAGGCGACTCTGGGGCAAGAACCAGCCCCGGGGGGTAGGGACAGGGGGCTTGGGGGCACGGAGACCCCAGCAGAGAACCCTGAGGGCCTTCCTTGACCGCCCAACTCAAATAACTCCTCTGTCCCCTCTGTCTCCTGTGACCCCTGTCCCTTACCTTGCTCCAGTCTGTCGGAGCAATTCGCCCCCCCCAGCATGTTTCTTAGTTGCACTTAGCAGCTGTCCCCACAGAGGACTCAAGCGTTTGTTGGTGTCTCAGCCAGCAGACTGGACGCTGGGTGCCCAAGGGCCTTCCGCATTTTGCCACTTTTGCTCCAGCTCGGCACATAAACGTTTTGGAATTTCTGGGGTAGAAAGTTCAAGGCCTCTCTCCTCCCAGGTGGGCTGGGGAGTGGGGGGGGTGCCCTCTGGGTCTGACTTTAGCAGGGATGACCCATGGGGAACTGATTCTCCAGCCCAATAATGCTCCAGAAGAGGGGATAGCTGTGGGGTCACCATGTCCAGAGGTCGCCATTCCGGAAGGGCGGACACGCCAGTGGGGCCTCTGCGATTCCACTCCCTCCAGAGTGCCCAGGTCTGAGCCCAGGGCCAGGGCCTCCGCCAAGCCCTCTGAGACTCAGAGCCTCCCTGCCACAGCCCCCTCCCCTTAGCCCAGGCCCCCACCCCACTGCAGGAGCTGACCTTTGTCCCCAGAGGATAGGCCACTGACCCCTACACGTACTCCCCTCTCTGCTTCCGAAGACCCTTTCTGTTTTTCCTTTTTTGTTTTGCTGTCCCTGGGTTTCCTATCTAACTAAGTCCCTTAACTGAAGAGGTCTGATGTGGTAAGGACAGCAGCAATTTCAGCAGGAGACCCTCAGGAAGGAGAAGGGGAGGGGGACATGAGAGGGAGGAAGAGTCAGAGAGTGAGGGACGGTGATGGCTTTGAACCTTCCTGCCTTCCTGAATTCGTAGGAGCCTCTCTCTTCCATTCTGTCAGAGGCAAGAGTGCTTTCCTGTCTGCGTTCTAAGGGGCTATGGCGACGTAGCCGCCCAGTTGTCACTGCCACTTTACTGCTGGCTTTCACACTCCGAGTAGGTTCTGTGCATTGCCCCGTGGAGACAGCACCGTCCCCATTTAATCGATGGGGGCCCCAAGAGAGGAGCTGATCTTCCCAGCACCCCACAGTGACTAAATGGCAGAACTAGAACTCAAATCCAGGACCCAAATCGCCTCCAAATCCAGTTGTCTTTTGTCTACATCAGAGATTCTTAAGACAAATAAGGGAGAGGTGCCCTCTCCCTCCCTTTCCTATCCTATCCTCAAATCCCTCCCTCAGCCGGGCATGGTGGCTCGTGCCTGTAGTCCGAGCAACTCGGGAGGCTGAGGCAGTAGGATTGCTTAAGCCCAGGAGTTTGAGGTTGCTGTGAGCTAGGCTGACGCCATGGCACTCACTCTAACCTAGGCAAGAAAGCGAGACTCTGTCTCAAAAAAAAAAAAAAAAAATCCCTCCCTCAGGCACACTAGAATTTTCAAGGAAGGGACATGCATAATTTTTAAGGCATATAATAATTAATTTATTTATTGCACAATATTAATGTGCATTAAATTAATGCACAATATTAATGCATAATATTTTAAGCTCATAAGAAAGGAATCTCATTGCTTTTATTATATATACTGGGAGCTTCCCAGTTCCAAGAAGCCCCTCTCTGGGCCCTGACTACCCCGGGACATGTAGGCGGCACCATGAGAAGGCAAATGCTCAGTGACAGACAGGAGACAACACACATTAGAGGAGCCAGGAGGACCCAGGAACCCCCGTGGGGTAGGGCCGGCTGGCAGCCTCCCTAGAGAGAGGCAGATTTGATTTAGAACAGAATTAAACCTGGGGGAGGAGGGAGGGAACCAGGTATTCTGGGTCCTCAATGCATAGGGCAGGAGCAGAGTTTGGGAGATTGCTAGGAAAGTCAAGGGAAGGCAGGAGAGAAAGGCAGGTGGCACTAGGGGCTGGAGGTGTCCCCAGGGCAGACTGGGAAGTTGAGTCTTACCCCCATGGACTTGGGGAGCCACAGCAGGTTTTAGAGCAGGGGAGTGACTTGTGTAGTGTGCTGAATAGGAGGGTCTTCCTGGCACAGTGGAGTAGCTGCTGGAGTGAGGGTGGCGAGTTTGAAGACTTGTCAGGACCTCAAACAGGAAGGCACAGAGGGTATAGATGGCGAGGGAGGGGCTGTGGAATGGATGATGGAGGTAACAAAATAAGGAAGACTTGGATAGACAGTTTACCAAAGGAAATGTACAAACGGCCAAGAAGAACATGAAAAGAAGCTCTCCATCATTAGTCTTTAGGAAAATGCAAATTAAAACCCCAGTTAGATAGCCCTGCGGAGCCACTAGCATGGCTAGCATTAAATAGGCACGGTGGCTCATGCCTGTAATCCTAGTATTCTGGGAGGCCGAGATGGGAGGATCACTTGAGGTCAGGAGCTCAAGACCAGCCTGGGCAAAAGCGAGACCCTGTCTCTGCTAAAAATAGAAAAAATTAGCCGGGCATGGTGGCACACTCCTGTAGCACCAGCTATTCAAAAGACTGAGGCAGGAGGATCACTTGAGCCCAGGAGTTTTAGTTGCATCAAGCTATTATGATGCTACAGCTCTTAGCCCCGGCAACAGAGCAAGTCTCAAAACAAAAAACAAAAAACAAAAAAAACCACATAGGCTAGGCGAGACTAAGTATTGGTGAGGACATAGAGCAACCAGCTTCTCATTCATTGCTGATGAAGGTGTGAAGTGGTGCAAGCCCTTTGGAAAAACAGTTTGGCAGTTTCTTATAAGGTTAAATATACACCTAGCGATTCAGCTCCCAGGTATTTACTCAACAGGAAGGAAAACACATGTCCACACAAAGTCTTGTACGAGAATGATTACAGCGGTGCTATTTGTCATAGCCAAACTGGACACAACCTCAATGTCCATCAACGGGAGAATGGATAAAGACACAGTGACGCATTCTTAAAATGTATAGAATCAGAAGGAGCAGCTTTTGCAAGCAAGAATGCCGACGAACTGATGGATGCGGTGTCGCAGACGGTAAGCTGAGGGAAAGGAGCCAGACCCAAACGAGTGCTTACTGTAGCGTTCCAATTATAGGAAGCTCAAAAACAGGCAAAACGAATATGTAGTGCTAGAAACCAAATCAGTAGTTGCCTAAGGTGGAGCGGGTGCAGACCCTAATTGCAGAGGGGCATGAGGAAGCCTTCTGGGAAGATGGAACGTTCCACGTATTTGATTATGGTGGTGTGCATACATCTATCAAAAGTCATCAATCTGCACTCTTACAATGGGTGCATTTCATTATATTTAACTATACCTCAATAAAGTTGATTAAAGCAAAAATAGAACATCAAGGAAGATGGTCTTTTAAAATGGAAGGAGCTTTATTTAAGCGGGACACATATGCACGCTAGGTAAGTACTGGACAGAAAGGGAAAGAAACTTACAGAAACGCGTGCAGCAGCAGTACTCAAAATGGGCCGAAACTGGGGACGACCCACGTGTCCACCAGCAGTACGACGGATGAATAAAGCGTAGTACATGCGTGCCGTGCCATACTACACAGCCCAAACTAGACACGAAAGAGCACAGCCTGGACAATTCCTTTTATATAAAGTTCAAGGACAGGCAAAGCTAATCTATGGCGTTAGAAGTGAGGGTGGCTTTTACTGGTAGGGTAGAGACTGGAAGTAGACAGGAGGGGGTCCCTGGGGGCTGGTAAATGTTTTGTTTTTTTTTTTTTTTTAATTTTTTTTTTTTTTTTGAGACAGAGTCTCGCTTTGTTGCCCAGGCTAGAGTGAGTGCCATGGCGTCAGCCTAGCTCACAGCAACCTCAAACTCCTGGGCTCAAGCAATCCTCCTGCCTCAGCCTCCCAAGTAGCTGGGACTACAGGCATGTGCCAATTTTATTTTTAAAATTGGTAGTTAGTTTTCCTAGAGGTATAAATGAGAAGGTAAAATCGCCCCTAATCCCAGCACAGTGGAGTGTGGGAAGGTGGGCGGGGCCAGTATGTGGGTTCCCTGGCTGTGGGGTTGGCAGCTGAGCGTGCGTGGGTGAATCGTCCCAGCCTGGGAGAAGCTTTGGGTGGTTGGCCAGCAGGCCTGCACCCATCTGGGCTCTCTGCTGAGCTCTCAACAGGCTCTGGCGGGCCTAATGAACAGCCCTGGGCAGGTTCTTCAACCTCTGCCAGCAATGGCAGAGATAACCAGGGCTGAGGGCTGCCTATTCTCCCGGCCACTCTCCCCTAGACTTCCTCTGTCCCAACTTAACCCCTCACCTGTCTGCACAAGACTAAGCAAATGTGAAGAGCACAGCTGGGCTCTGGAGTCAGGCACACTTACCAGCTGTGTGACCTTGGGTGAGTTACTCAACCTCTCTGAGCCTTAATATCTTCATACACACTAAAAACAGACCTTTAAAGGGATGAGACATTAAACAGACTTTTACTATTGTCTTTCCACGCCCCCATAGATTGTTGTGCACACCCACCTTGGAGACCACTCCAAACGTCTCACAAACGTAAGGTCTTCTAGACCTCGGGCTATAGTAGTCTAAGGCTTAAGGTCTAAATGGCTCAGCTTGGCCTTTGAGGGCCTCTGAGTTCCAGCTCTAGCTCCAACTACTCTCCTGCTTGGGCCAGTGGCTGCTTACTAGCCCCTGACCCATGGACAGGCGTGGCCCTTTCTCACCTCTAGGTCTGTATCCCCGGGGTAGTTGTTTATGTGTCTACCCCCTACCTGGGCTTCTGGTGACTTTAGCCA